TTCTCTCCTCTCTCTCTTTCGCTCTCTCCTCTCTCTCTCTCTGTCTCCCTCTCTCCCTCTCTCTCTCTTCCCCCCTCCTCTCTCTCCTCTCTATTCCTTTCCCTTTCTCTCTCCCTTTCTATTCCTTTCCCTCTCTCTCTCTCTCTTTCTCCCTCTCTCTCTCTCTCTCTCCCTCTCTCTCTCTCTCTCTCCCTCTCTCTCTTCTCCCCCCTCTCTCTCTCTTCCTCTCCCCCTCTCTCTCCCCTATTCACCATCCATTTACCCAGCGCAATGACCGTGGGATTTACACGGTCAACGGATGGATTACGCGCTTCGTTCGCGTATGAAAGTGTTTGTGAATCCGCATGCCGTTTTTGTAAGCGCATTCACGGGCTAGGGGAAGTCAGACAGGAGGGTTACATTATTGCTTTAGAAAATGGTGGTGTTTGCAGGTATTTTTCTGTTTTCTTGTGTATTTTTTTACTTGTTTTTCTCGGTCGTCCGTTTGGGTTGGTCGATTCTTTTTTTCTATTTATTTCCTGACTCTTCCTTTTTTTACCATAGCTATTTCTATTCTGATTTTCCCACATTGTTGTTTAAATCACTATTATTTTTGGTCTGCCAATAATTTCTTTATTGTTATTTTATAGAAAGAAAAAATGCGAAATTGAGAAGTTTAATGATATTGACAATTATGTTGGCGACAAGACATGATAAGCACTCAATCAAATATATAATATCAAAGTCATGAATGAATATTTTGTTAAAAAAAGAAAACGTCAAAATATAGTTGACTATTAATCCCTTGAACTTCATAATTCACCAGTATCTCTTAAAAAGTCTTCCAAATGAATTGATTTATCCCGAAGTCAAACAAAACTAGCAAACCAAAGGAAACAAAGTCGCATCCCCCCCTCCCTCCCTCCCTCTCCTCCAGGACTCAGCCGCTCTCCTTCCCCCGCAGGTTCACCTCCCACACGGACAACGGCTGCCCCGACGGCTACATGCAGATCGAGGAGCTGAGTCGGCCCCTCAACGCCGGCTACTGGTGCGGGACGTCTTGGGGCCACAACGTCTTCTACTCGGAGACGTCGGCGATCACCGTCATGCTCAGGGTGTTCAATGTCACCGACGACGGGGGGAGGAATAACCCTGGGGCGTTCTCTCCCCGGGATACGGTGATGCTGGGGATGTCCTACCGGTTCCTGAAGAGGGAGAGGGCGGTGCTGCGGTACGGGGCGCCCTACAGCCCCAGCTACCGCGGGGAGGACGTGCCCAATTCCTTCTGCGACAAGTACTTCGAGAACTGCGACAAGAAGAACTGCAAGGTGCAGTCGCCCAACTTCCCCGGCATGTACCCGCGGAACCTGACCTGCTACTACCACATCCGGCAGATGCGGGAGCCCGAGGGGAAGGTGGCGCTGATCCGCGTGCGGCAGCGGAACCCGCACCTCATCTACATCAAGGACCGCAACGCCCCGCACCTCACGCGGGAGAGGAAGCTGCAGGTGGGTTCGGGGTGCCACGTCCTCCACGACTACCTAGTAGCGTTCGACGGCAACACGACCAGGGCGCCCGTGCTGGCCACGCTGTGCAAGGGCGGCGCCCCGCTCAGCGGCATCACCTCCAGCGGGTCAGACCTGTTGCTGCTCTTCCACGCGTCGCCCTTCGACTTCCCGTTCCAGGACTCGCCGCGGCGGAGAATATTCGGCTTCGAGCTGGACGTCGAGGTCGAGTTCGTGGACCGCGAGTCGACGGCCTACATCCGCGAGGGCTCGACCTGCGACTACATGGTGAGCAGCCGAGGCCAGCGCAGCGGGTACGTGCAGTCTCCGAAGCACTCGCTTCTCCCCAACACGACGTGCACGTGGCGGCTGCTGGCGGGGAGCACGGAGGTCGTGTGGCTCTACTTCCTGCACTACCGCCACGTCAACCACCCCGAGATGCCGCCGCCCGCGCACTGCTCCAACACGCTCACCATCCACGACGGCGACACGCGCACGCCCTTCCTGGAGTCGGCCTTCGCGCTGGCGGAGGAACCGGTCACTAATAGCTCCCTGAACGCCTCCGCCGAGAACAGCACCTCCTCCTCCTCCTCCTTTTCCTCGGTGTCGCTCATGGGCCAGTTCTGCCGGCCGGAGCGCCTCCCGCGAGTGTGCAGCGGCGTGCACGCGCCGGGCCCGCACGCGGCGCCCTGCCTCCCCGGCGAGAGCTACGTGTCGTCCTTGCCCGCCCTCACGCTCTCGCTGCACTACGCGGCAGGGACCGCCCCCGCCCTCGTATAACTTCGTATAATGTATGCTATACGAAGTTATTACGTGGACAAGCGGCAGTGGGGCGTGCAGACCCCGGGCGGCGGGCCGTGCGACCGCACCTTCCCCATGCAGCCCGACCGCCTGTTCGCCTCGCCCAGGGACGTCTTCCTCTTCGGCCGCGGCGGCGCCAGGAAGCTGCGCTGCGTCTACACGTTCGAGGCGCGGCCGGACCAGCGCATTTCGCTCCGCATCCTGCGCTCTCGCATGGGCTCCGCCTGCTCCACGGTGTACAAGCACTCGTCCCACAGGCACGAGTGCTCGCATGACGGCGGCGAGGACAAGCCGGCGCGGGTCAGGTTGGAAGAGCCCTGGCACGGCGTGCAGCTGCCGCGGGCGTGCCTGTGCAACGTGTCGCACTCTCAGCCGTTCACGCTGGTCTCGTACACCAGCCAGCTGAGGGTGATCTTCAGCGTGCCGGTCATGACGCCCTCGAGCGACTACAACGACTTCTTCCTTGAGGGCGAGTACTCGATGCTGCCGGCGCCCGACGAGGCCTCCCACCCGTCGTGCGTTCGCGGGAACCGGCGCCTGGCGGGCCGCTATGGCAACTTCACGGTGGGCGCCGCCCGCGGGAACAAATGCCTCTCGCTGCCCCGCCTCGTCACGGCCGCCGACGGCTCCTTCCTGTTCCTGCGGACGCGCGGTTTCGGGGCGTCGGAAACCAACTGCAACGCCGACGCCCGCATCAACGTGTTCGCCGTGGGCGACCTCGCGCCCATCGCCTCCATCTGCCCGACGGAGGAGGGCGGCTTCACGCACGTGTTCAGCAACGGGTGGCGCGGGCCGGAGCAGGAGGCCAAGGCGGAGCTGGAGGCGGGGCGCGTGTGGAACGTCACCAGGATGAACATCGGCCAGAGCAACTACTTCTTCCACCAGCAGCAGCAGGAGCTCAAGAAGCGCGGCCGCCACCGTCAGCGCCACCGCCAGCAGGAGTCGCGCGACCTCGTCGTGGAGTACGTGGGTAACCTGACCGGCAGGTTCATGCTGACGTGGGTGGGCGTGTGGCGGCCCATGCAGACGGCGCCCCTCTCGCCCGTGGGCGTTGACCTGTGCCCCCATCGGTGCCCGGAGATCCAGGCATGCCTCCCGGCGGAGCTGTGGTGCGACGGCTCCGTGCACTGCCCCTCCGGCATGGACGAGGGCGCAGCCGCTTGCGGGCTTCTGGCCGCCCTCCCGTGGGTGTACCTGGGCGCCGCCGCCGTCCTCTTCATCTCGCTGATGGCGCTGCTGGCGGCTGTGGTGGTGCACCGCAAGCGCACGCGCGCCCAGAAGGAGGCCGAGGCGTCCATGGTGGCCAACAACAGCCACGGCCTGAAGAGCACCACGCAGGACTTCCTCATCCCGCCCGACAAGGACCCCTGGTGACAGGACGCCCATTCTGACGATGTCGTGTGCGTGGACTACGAGACCACGGTGTAGGTCACGTGACCCTAGATCGAGGGCTGCGGGTCAGGTACGGGATGTCGTTGGGATGGGACGGCCTAAAGGGAAAATAGAATAAAGAGATATATTATATATATATTTACTCCTGTACATAGACCTCTGAGAACATACAACTCTTGCAATTTTCATACCTGTATATATGTACACAGCCGTTAAAGTTTTCTACCTATATACACCATTGTTACAAAAACACAAAGAAAAAGAAACAGTGAATGGTACTATTTAATGTGAAACAATACTTTATATGTGCGTATGAATGATGAGAATAATGTAAATAACTGACCTTTGTTTTATTCTGTGATGCAGTTCAAAGCCGGATGATGATAATGATATTGCTGATTCTATGATTCGAACTTATAATTTGTGAGGTGTGTCCGGTTTAAAGGGAAAATAATGAATAAATAAACAAGCGAATGAATATTTCATCCTTGGGTGTCATGCTGAAACAAAACAAAACAATACAAAAAAAAAAAAGATATCCTGTTTATACTGTTTGAACATTTTTCGGACCAAAGATTCTATATATACATATATATATTTTGGTTTGTCTTCCTTTCTGCGAGCCCAAGAGAAAATGATAGTAATAATAATGTTAAAAAAAAAAAACACAAACACTAAATACGTGCAGAGACAACATCTGTTTATTTATTTAGTAAGTTGTAGAAGAAAAAAAATGAACGAAAAAAAAAAGGCATAGGTTTAGGGGTATATTTAGTATTGCCATATATCAGGTATTTATTGCGTGTAGGTACATTCGATCCCTGTTGAAGTTATGGTGGTTTTATATGAACGTGTGAGAGTGTGTTACAGTGTATGTTACGATGTTACAGTGACGCTCTGCTGTATCTGTCGTTGGTTGTTAATAAACGAGTAATTGGTAACACAGTGGTCTTCTGCTAACCTAAATGAAAATGGAGCTTCGGTGAAAATGAATAAATACTCGAACAGAATGAATTGTTGTGCTTGCTATGGCTATTAGTTATCGGAATTGCAGCATAACAGTGTGTGTGTATTGCAATGTATACGTAGTGCATATGCATATATATACATGTATATGCATACAAACACGAACACACCCTCCCATCCACCCATACACACATACACAAATATATATATATATATATATA